AGTCCCACCACCGTACATACAGTGTATGTACACTGTACTCTCTAGCCATTTGCCTAGATTTTTTTCTTTTAATGATTCTGAGCATATTGTCCACTTTGTCTAGAACACTGTCCCCTTGCTACACAGCTACTTCTCTGCATAGTAAACCCCCATTCATCCTTGTGGGACTCATTCTAGTATCACATTTAGTAGTTTTTCAAAGACCAGCCACTGTCACCTATCTTAAACCAACCAAGTTACTTATGGTTTTGGTTTCTTAAGGCACAGTACACATGCTTTTATTAAAGTAGGTTGTATTCACTTGTAATTATTTATTTACGTGTGTCTCTTCCTCCTCTATGCACCTCCCCCAAGTTCCCCAAAGAGAACCGGTTCTTATCCACTGTATCTCCTTCATTTAGCTGTGGCTGGCACATTATAGACATTTGGTATGTTTGTTGAAAGAAAAAATGTGTTTGGAAAGCAACGTATGATCCCAAATTCCTCTTATATTGTTTATTTTCCATTCTGAAAGAATTAGTGCCCTTGTCCTGAAAAGAGCATCCTTTCTACTCCAGTCTTTACTGTCCAGGATTTACTTTTAAAGCTCTGTCCTTATTTACAGATACATAGCCACTAACTTTATTTTTCGTCTTCAGTAATTATTTTATCCATGTGTATGTAAATTGTTTTGATTCGTTTTCTACTAATAATTGTAATAACTCAATCCAGAATATTTTTGTTTTTCATTTAAATTCATAAACACTTCTGGGGTGCCTGGGTGGCTCAGTCAGTTGAGTGTCTGACTCCTGATCTCAGCTCAGGTCTTGATCTCAGGGTCATGAGTTCAGGCCCCATGTTGGCTCCACAGTGAGCCTACTTTCAAAAAACAAATAAATAGTAAATAAATTTATAAACATTTTTGTAGAGAAATATGGTAGGAAAAGCAACCATTAAAATATGTGTAAGCATGAAAATATATTACATTACAATAAAATTAAGTGGAATGGTAATAGAGGTCTAGGGAGAAAAAGATACAAATTTCTGACTTAAAGAATTCTTCATTCTTTTTATTAATGGATGATAATAGCTGTCAAATTTCTATATTCATATTATATTGGATAGGTTTTTAAAAGACTGGTGTTAACGGTATTTTTAAATATGCTGGAAATTATAACTACTTGAACTTAATGATAGTTTAAAGGGGTACTTAGTTTTTCTATCTAGTTTTTAAAAATCTCTGTGGGTGTTATGTAAGCATAAAATCTGAGGACAACTGACATATATTCTCAGGGTTCAGAAGTACACTTTAGTGTTCTTGTGCAGTCCCACACATAATTTAGATCAGGTATCAAACTAAATCACCCCAGAAATTTTTAACTTGTCCAAGTTGTAAGATTAATTTATCAATATGGGTATGATTGATTTAAAGTAGTAATCCTTCCTAGACTTAAGTGTCTCTAAGCTCCCACTCTTACAGCTTAGTAAATCTTTCATGACAAAGATTTGGTTTCTCTCCAAGTTCTTCTGCATTAATTTTAGGCGTCCAGCTCAGTGGCTGTGACAGTTTTGCTTACTTCGTCATGACTTTGAAATGTACTATCTACCAAAACCATTATCTCTGGGACAGATTACAAACTAAAGAAACTATGGGGAAAGAGGAAGCAGATTATTTTCCAATTACCCGGACCAAGAGCCTCAAAAAATGACTGACATTGAATTCTCTAAGCATTAAAAGTCCAGGTTCTATTAGTGTAAGAATTTTACTTCTTCAATTAAATGTTTTCTCTTAAAATATATCTTGATAAATGTAACATTTTAAAATCTGACATAGTAGTCCATTGTATGGCTATTCCGTAATTTATTTAACCTTTGATATACTGCTGAACATTTTACTATTCAAAGCAATGCTTTAATGAGCATTCTTATTCTTAGATCTTTGTACACAGGTGCATTGTTTTCTTTGGGGCTTATTACTAGGAGTAGAACATTTGGGTCAAAGAAAATGTGCATATTTTGCATTAGTAGATAATACAAAATTATTAATAGATACTACAAAATATCCCTCTAAAAAATTTGTGCCAAAAAACCCCACCCACCAACAGAAAATGCCCATTTCCCTATACCTTCTCTAACGCTGGATACTATCAGGCTTTTGACTTTTTTGCAAATTCAGAAAATATAACATGCACACCAAAATGACATCACAGTGATTTTCACCTTCTTGAGTCCATGATTATTTTCCTACTTAAACTACAATACCCCCCTCAGCACTCCTAAATCCCTTGAAACTATTTTATATCCTATAGCACTTACTACCTTACAAAATTCTATTATTTCTCTCCCCTTACTCTAGAGTGTTAAGCTTCAAAAGGTTTTGGGTTTTATCTGTTTTGTTCACTAATGAACAGTGCTTTGCACATGATAGACACATATTTTTTAAGATTTTAAGTAATCGGGTGCCTGGGTGGCTCAGATGGTTAAGCGTCTGCCTTCGGCTCAGGTCATGATCCCAGGGTCCTGGGATCGAGTCCCACATCGGGCTCCCTGCTAGGCGGGGAGCCTGCTTCTCCCTCTGCCTCTGCCTCTCTCTCTCTCTCTGACTCTCATGAATAAATAAATAAAACATTTAAAAAAAAATAAAAAAAAAAGATTTTAAGTAATCTACACCCAACGGACTCAAACTCATAACCCTGAGATCAGGAGTTGCATGCTCTTCTGAGCCAGCCAGGCTCCCAGACACATTTATTGAACTGAATGACATGGCACTTGTAAGATAATACGAATTTCAGTCATGGTTGGTATGTTTCTTCTTTGACCCATATGTCCCTAATGTTGCATATATCTTACCTATCATAATAAGAAAGTACCCTTAGGAGCAACCACAACTCCTTAGGGCACATTACACCAGACAAAACGCCCAGGTTTGGCTATTAGCAGGCCACCAAGTAAAGAAATGCTCCTTACTTCTGTGGACTCCCTGGGCAGTTGATTATCAAGACAATGTAGCCTTGCCAATGAGGGCCATCCAACCACCACCTTGCTTATTTTGGCCCTTCCCTTCCTGTTTCTCTCCTGCCGATGCCTGGGGGCGGGGGGGGGGGGGGCGGAGCCTAGGAACAATAACCAACCCTAGTAAAGCAGACACTCCACCCAGGCAAGTGACTGCCGGCTCTGATCTTCCCCACACCAGACCCAACCCACTCCCTAACAGGCCTTTGGCCCCACACCCTATACAGTAACAATGGCAGCTTAGTGAAACAAGAGAACTAAGGTTTGGTTGGTAGAGCACCAAGTTTCATTGTTTTCCTGGGGCCAGATTTTGGCTGTGAAAGAGATACGGAAGAGGGAGCAAAGGATAGTGACTGAGTTTTGAGTAGCTGCAGTTGCTATTCTATAAAACATTTAAGTATTCATCCACTGTTTTGCTAAGAAATTTGGTGATACAAAAACTCTTAGCTACTATGTTATTTCCTTCACATTTATCAACATCTGTAGTATCTATCCTCCCTTTTGGCAGCATATCATGTCAGATGTGCACCAAATAAGGGCCTACTGAATATTTTCATTGTGTTACTTTGATGGAGAGGCTTTTTTATTATAACTATATTCAGACTAATGAGGGATTTGCAATGCTTAATTAGCCTTCAACATAACCTGGGGGGGAAAAAGGGGGAAATGATTACTAGGTACCACTGGCAGGCCTAAGTAACAAGAAAAGAATGTGGCAGAAGAAATTGTGTGTTGTAAGGAAACTGCGTATTGCACTTATCTCAGATTCCAGTTAGTGATGAGTTGCTTTATTCCTGGTCCATTCCCTATTTCATCTTCACTCCCAAAAAGATCAGCATAGGGGTAAATTTTGGTGACAAAGTTCTGGAAAATGGATAGAGGTTCCTCAGGAACTTTCGATGTTCCCGAATAGGAATTTGAACAAGAAGCTTGGTGGATAGAGTAGGAAGATTTTATTACAAATGTCAAAGTGTGTAGAGTGGGAATAACTGAGACCAGAAGCAGCTTCACTTGATTATAACTAATTTGCAGTGGGTGGTAAAGACAGGTGCCATGCCAGCATCACCACTTTAATAATAAATCTTTCTTCTGTGGTGATGTTGTGAAAGGCACGTGGTAAGGTTGCATCACTATGGTGAAATATCACAAAACAGGTGGGACTGTCTGGAGAAGCATCTGTTTGGAAAAGGATCGTGCTACAAATTACAGCCCAGAACACCTTGAATATACAGCACAGCAGTAATTTGGAATGTTAACACTGGAAACAAATGTCATCAGCCAGCTGGTATATATGCTGGTATCTTAACAAAATAATGAAGATGAAGGTATTTGCTGTCACTTTAGCATATAGTATCCCTGTATTAGAGGAGAGTAGCAAACTGAAAGCAAACCTCTCAGTTCTGTTCAAGAGCCAGTTTCACCTGTTTGTGTTGCTTCCTTACAAATGTCAGCTGTGTAGCCAGTAACTGATCCTTAGGATGCTTTTTGTCATTACAGCAAAGGGATTTAAGTAGAAACCAGCTGTTAGCTATTGAGAAGTGGGAATGTTAGGAAATCTACTACCTCCCCTTTCTCCTACCTACCTGCCCTATCCCACACTTCCCAAATGGCAATTTTTTATACCTCATCCACCATTTAGGGAGATGCTATCACTGAACCAAATAGCCGCACATAAATGCTTTTGGTTTTCCTCGGCTGATATTAGGTAATTATGTCTAAAAAAAGTCCTAATTTTTCACAAGGGGAAAAAATTTAGAACATGTAGCCTTCCAAATTGACACCTCCACTGGTTAAAGAATGTTGACAAGGTCTAGATGCTTACACGAATTCTCTCAACTTTGTTTCAATGAAAAGACCCACAAGATATTAATGGGAAAATTATGCAAGGATAGGATAGTTCATTTTCTATAGGAATTGTGTTTTTACTTCTTAAACTACAATGGAAATATCTCAAGCAATATGCCTTGTTAATTCATTCTTGAATATTAATAATTGATTTCTCATTGAAGGAAAAAACTTAGCTGTATCCAACAATTCAGATATGGCGGAAGTGAAGTCAATGTTTCGGGAAGTTCTTCCAAAACAAGGTATCTAAATCAAATACTTAGGTCACAGAATATTGTAGGGACCAAAATAAATAATAGGCATGGCACATAGCAGGCTCAATAGCCAAACATCTGTAACTATTTTGTATCCTGTATGCCACATTTACTGTCCACTTTTACTATGTTTCTTTTAGGAGTAGATTATAAAGAACTCATCCATTGCTTTTTTCCCCAGTAAAAAGATGACAAATGAAGCACTGTTTCTTAAACCTAGAAATCCCGTTATACTCAAATTTGCAGATTAAAATATGAAATTTTCATTGAAAAAATAGTAATTCACTAATGTTAAATAAGGTCTGAAAGTGGGGAGAAAGAAACCTAAGTCAAGCAATTGTTAAAGGCTGATGGTTTAAGTTAAACATTCATGTTAATGAATATTCATTAATACCATACTTTTACTATGTAAGTATTCATATGCACTATGTATTTCTCCCAAATCTTTTTGCAGACTAGACATCTGATACAAAATGTTGTGTGTCTCATAGGTAGCTTAGAATCTTAGGTAGGAAGTTCAAAATGTCATCCTTATCAACTCCCTAGAATTAAATGTTGATATATTAGAAATAACTGAAAACAAAAGTTTTCATTGACAGTGGATTAAGTCTTTTAGACCTTCATTCTAGCTGCAAATCCAAACTACCCTACAACTGGGCCATCTCACTAAATTCTTTCTTTTTAAACTTAGGGCAGTTGTCAGTGGAAGATATAACCACAATGGTGCTGTGTAAACCCAAACTTTTGCCCTTAAAATCTCTGACTCTGGAAAAACTGGAGAAAATGCAGCAAGCAGCCCAGGATACGATTCGCCAACAAGAAATGGCAGAAAAGGAACAACAGCAAATAACTCACTGAATGGTAACTTTGCAGTTCTACAGAATACCCTGCCTTACTATTAACAATAGGCTAGACAATAACTTGCATCTGTATACTGAAGATGGTGTGTGTTAATAAAACTGATAGTGCTTATAAAATAAAAATACCCAAAACTAGTGAAACCTGTGAATTTAGACACACTCTGGTTTGTATTGAACATGAGCAATTAAAAAACTGAACCCAAATTTTATTGTTGTTTTTTTTACCCAAGTCTTTAGAACTATAAATTAGTTTCACCATTCCTATTACTGTTAAGACTCACAGATAACATTCTTAGGCACAAGTGACTAAATGCAACTTTTATATTCAGATAATCTTTACATGTTTATTAAAAACTGAACTTGAAGGTACATTCTAATCTCATACAAAGCGTTTTGGGGCTTTTACATTATTACCTAATTTTAAAACTTGTTTATGAATTTTGTGTTTCATATTTAAGGCTATTTTGCCTGACCAACTGGTCCTACCAGTAATGACAAGACTGTATTTCTCAAACAAATATGATTTTTAAGAAACCTTCACTTATCAAGTAGTCCCCTGAGCTTTTAATGATATTGACTTTAAAGACTAAAGAATTGCCGGGCTACCTTTATCATCCAGGTATCAAACACAATTAAAACCCTAAAAATAGAAAAAAAATAGGGACTTGAAGGAGCCCATGAGATAAATATGAACATTAAATTTGGGGTTTTAGTTCTAAGAGACTGCCTAAACCTGTAATGGGCATATTCCTAAGAATATGTTTGTTAATCTGAATATAATTCTTGGCTGGTTGCTATAATCAATAATAGACTATTTAAATTAGCATAGGCCTTCCTGAGTAATTAGGCTCTGCAAAAGAGGTTAGAAATGTGATCATTCTTTAGAGAACTATTATTAAACTGATAAGAACAGAACTATTATTTATTGGTAGCTACTATTTCTCAGACACTGGATAAATGTAAAAACTTTTTGAGTCTCTGAAGAATAACTTTGTAACAAACATTAGCTGGTAACAGAACTTAAGAATGATGAAACGTATTATATTTTTAAAATATCACTGAGCTTTAGAGAAGATCAAACAACAAGTATGTATGCATTTCCTACAGATAATATTAAAAGAATTTACTACTGTACTTTTAAGTTTGCAAAGAACAAAATTTAAATTCACTAGGTTCAAATATGCTCCCTTATAGGACTGAAAATTTGCTGTGTAAAATAAAAGTTTTTAAAAAGACCTAAATATATGTACTCCCAATAAAGAATCAACACTGCTTCACATGTTTTATTTTGTCATACATTCTTTTAGAACCGGGTTCATTTTTCCAGTTTTGTAGAAAAATAGATGTTCCAGCCACCATTTATTTAACTGTCTAGTCTTTAAGACCAATCAATATGTTCCCTGGAAAAATGAATAAGTCTTATGACTAACTCATTTTCTTAAAATTCTTCAAGACAAAGAAATAACTTTTTTTTTTTTTTTACTCCCAAAGCACAGTATTCCAACAGCAGCAGCCAACATGGGGTTTTAGCAGCTTAACTTTACCCCCTAAATAAAGCTTTGTATAAACCAGTGATTTTACTACAAAAACACTGTCTTTGAAAGAAAGGAGTGGCAGTCAGACATCAATGCAAAACTTGGAATGATTAGGTCATAAACATGGCACTTACAAAAGGTAGCTTATGAGAATATTCCACTTAAGAAGTGGTTACTCTTCTGTCCCTCCTTAACACCCTCAAAAGAAAAAAAAGAAAAAGATAAAAAGAAAAAAACACGTCCTTTAAAAATTCCCCTTAAATTTTAAGTTTATAAAATTTCAGAAACGCCTTGTACCCAAAACAAGTGCTTCAAAAAAAAAAAAACAACAAAAAAAACCTGTGCTAACAACTCTTACAATTCAGGTATATTTATATATTTTTTTACAACATCTAAGACTGTAAGAGTTCTTATATTCAGTAGCTCTCTGGTTTAAGACGACCTCCATCTCCTTCACTTACAAAACGTTTTCTGCCCCTGTAATGAAAAGAACACAAGCATGAAAATGGATACCAATTCTGACTACAGATCAAAACCAAAAAAACCCTTGGGTTCTTTTGGCTAGTCATTAGGTTTTGAAGGGTTTTATTGTTTAAAAAAAAAAAAAAGTGAGCATACCTCTAATTCTTTTGAGACTCTTTCCCTGCTACATATCCTAGGATATTAACAAATCAAATGAACTGCTAATCTAGGCAGTTTTTAGTTAAATAAAAGCTTAATTATTAAAATAAGTTCATTGACTAAATGGAGTCATGTTAAAAAATTAAAATATAAAGCAAACATGCTATTTAGAATTTTAATAATTACTCCTACTATGTTACTAGTATTTGAAAACTAAACAGTGAGCCAAAGAAACACCAACATGACTTGGAATTATGCAAACTAGAGCTACAAAACCTACGAAAATATCCGTGTTTAAAAAATTTTTTTAGTTTTTCCTCAAATGTAGAAAAGCCATAACTTGTACCTGCAAAAACAAATCAGAATCCAATTAATTGCAGTCTCTGCCCCATTTTGGAATTCCTACTATTTCAAACTCAAGAGCCCTTGCTTCATAATGTAACCACACTTATGCTGTATATGTAGCTATACACAGTAGCCAACAACCCAGGAGAAATAGTTGACCAGCAGCCTAAAGCAGAGTGGAAAACAGAGTTTGCTCAGGATTAACCCTCATTCTCTGACCATAAACCAACATGCACAAGCATTCAAGACCACATACAAATGTGCACTTCACCCAAATAAGCTAATGGGTAGAGGATAAAAAGTCACAGTTCTACAGCAAACAAAGAACATTTAGGTATCTCCTCAACTGATCCTTAGAGTAAAGCCACAATAGAAATGACCAGTTAGACTTCTGAACAGAAGCTGCAAAGTAAAAAGCTAGTGCCAAGGTGTTGACCCCTTTTCATACTAAGTCTAAGTGGAAATCAGCTACATTTTCCTGCACATAAAGGCTTCAGACTATAATATTAGAGACTGAGATGGGGAACAGAACAGTAAGTATCAAGAACCTTACCAAAGCTGACAGCATTTACTGATATGTACCACTTGGCACATAAATGATGCCATCACCAAGCAGAGATCTATATATATATATTTTTAGAGATCTGTATTTTAAAACATTTTTATCAAAGCCATTAAACTCTTCTTCCTTCTCTCTCAATGGCTTCTAAACTTTCTAGAGGAAAAGACATTACTAGGAACTATTTTTTCTAAGACTTAATTCTCACAATCAACTTCAATAAAAATAGACAAAGCTTCGCAATTTTTTTGAGATTAAAAATCACAAAAACTTAAAATGCACATAAAGCAGACATACACCATACTCAAGTTTAGCTATTACTAACATTTATACCTATTTATAAACTTCATTATAAGCTTTATTTTAACCACAAAAAAAAACTCAGCAACTCCTAAAGAGTTAGATTCTAGTAGCACAAGTATATCATCTCCAAGGAATCACACACAACCACTTTCCAATGAGGTAAGATCCAATTAGCCTTAATTCTCCATTCCATGAAGGAGAAAAAGGAAGTCACATGGAGTACAGGAATGAGCATAGATCTTTGAAGCCAGGAAAGGTCTGGATTCATCCTTGGCCTCTACCATGTGTGACCTAAGGAAAGGTATACTACACTTCCTTAAACTTCAATTTTCTCCTCTTACTGGTGATAATATCTATTCTGAAATAATATTTCAAGTACTTAGAACAGAGCCTGGTACACAGAACTACTACACAAAGTTAGTTTCCTTCCAGTGAACAAGGGCTTCATGAAGTAGCCCTGTATAGATTTACAAGGGGGCAAAATAAGCTTTGCCCTTGTTTTTACATAAACTCAAAATAGATGATTTTCACTCGAGGCTTTAGGGGAGATGTTATTTTTCTGACAGAATTCCAGAATTTTTCTGGAATGACAGAAAATTAGCTTAGCCTTCCCAAGCACTCAGCCAGTATCTTATGTGAAAAAAGTAATGACATACCTTGAAGGACAAAGATCTCTGAGCTGTTTGGAAATTATTCCAGCCTGAAAACACTCTTCTACAAATCGCTCAAGCACAGAGTATGAATGTGGGACATCCAGATTAATGTCTGGAATTTCATTGTAAATTCTCTCATAACCCTAAAACAATAAAATTATATACAGAATGTTAGCCCATATGAAATACATAATGCCATACAACCCATCATTGTCATCAAGCTACATTTTAAGGCCTTAACTGTTCATAAAATTAGAATGAAGTCAGATCTGATCCTTGAAAAGTTATCAACAGCAGGTATATTTATCATAGAATGTCTTCTTTAAAATTGTTCTCTCAAGACATCCATCAGACATTGGACACATTTCTTCACCAACTACTTCTCCATATACATTTACTACACTTTTAAAAATGTAAGGCAAGTAAGAACCTCCCCAATATTTTAAATAGGAATAAATACTTTAAAGTATATTTGTTAAAAGATCATATTCATGTTTGTTTCTAGATATAAAATAGAAACTATCATATCTTTAAAAGCAGAATTCTTGAGGAAGAACAATCACATCTTAAAAAAACCCACTAAAGTGTTACTTTTAAGAAATGGCTAGAAGAGGTCAATCACAACCATTAAAAAAACAAACAACTACAGGCACAGTACTATTAAACATACCTAAAAGAACATTTCACTGATAATTCATAATCTTTATTCAATCATTATACATTTAAGGTATGAGCCTAAAATTGTTCAAAATAATGTTATACTTACTCTTTTCATTTGGTCTAGAGTAATGGTAGAAGATTTCCAAAGAGATTTTAATAAATCCAAAATCATCTTAAATGTACTTTCTCCAGTTGACTCTAAAACCATTACAATGGCCTAAAAATTGAATGAATGAATGAACAAATGTTTGGTCATTAATTCATATAAAGAAACTGCTCCTAAAATGTATCAGATTCCTTTTGTCTGGTATGTAATTATAATCATCATAAAAATTTAAAAACAACATACTCCCTTAACATTAAAATTAAAAAAAAAAAAAGATGTATGCTATTAAAGAAGCATTAAGTCACTGTGGTACAAAAAGGAACACTTAATAATTCTCTTTGGAATGCCAAAGTAATCAAGGAATCTTACTTCATATACAAGCTCATGGTGAAAATGAGGTACTTCCAGTTCCTTAAGGCAAT